GAGCTGATCTTCAAGCAGATTCTCTGATGGCAAGGGAAGTGTACTAGTATATTGGCCGCCTGTAACCATTGGCTGCGCCACGTATTGGATACTTCCTGGCCAATTAAATTTGATACTGCCTTACAGCAATGACAGCCAGCCAAATATCTGCTTGGAGATTAGTTTGAGCAAGGAGTTTGCAGTGTTTTGGTAGCCTGACACCCTAATCATATTTTGGGGGGATGTTTTTACTTGATACTTTTTTAACTCCATGAGACAACTTATGACTTTTTCTTCCAATTTGCAGCACCCAGCGATCCTCCAGAAAACGTTACAATCACCAACATCACAACAAACTCATTTGTCATCAGCTGGTCACCCCCTAAACACCCGAATGGTATCATCCTGCACTACAACGTTAGACTTGGGAGCAAGATCACAGGATTTGGGAACCAGACAGAAGGATCTTTATGGGGTTTAAAGGATGGCACGAACTACAGTGTTCAGGTCCAGGCGTGTACAGGAGCCGAGGAGTCCCCATGCGGACCCTATTCTCCTGTCAAGTACGCGCAGACACTGAAAAGCAAGTCGTTTTTCTTTTGTTGTCTTTTTTTCTGTTACAATCTCGAATCCGATTTCGAGTTTGCGTTTTAGACCTATAATTACATGCAATTAGGCAATATCTTTTTCAGCCCGTTCATTTGTTCTCTCGCTCCTTGGAATTAATTTTTTCGCTCATTCATTCCACAAGGAGACAATGTGGAACCCAATCCAATGGATCAAAGTCACGGAGGTAAGTTCTTCTTTACTCTATATGTAAACTGTGACGTCTGACGAAAATCTAGAGTTCCTCTATCTATGCAATGTACTTGCAAGGCATAACATTCCAATCAGTTAAGATACAAGGGGTCTACGCTGCATATTGGTTAAATATACTCAAGGTTTATGTCACATCTACCATACATTGTATGTCAATGTGTGGTGAAAAATTCAAAGCTTCTTGGGAAATCGTTTTGTTATTTCTTTTTGTAGCCGTGATTGCCGGAGCCACCCTTGGCAGTGTCTTTGTTTTAGTTCTGATGTTCATCGCAGTTGTGTCTGCGCCTAAACTACGCCAAACGTAAGTCACAACGCAATCGTGCCTCCTTAGTTGTTGAATGCAGTTTACCATTGACACACATGTGGAATGCTGTTCTCAGACAAGACAACTACATGGCTGAAATAACAATTATATGGCTTAGATTAGATGTCATAATAAGATGAAGTTGAACTTACAATGTGACTTGTATCTCAATACAGGTGCATAAGAATATCGTACATTCCAAAACCGAAAGACTTCATCACGGAAGAGGTAACATTTGCTTTATCATTAAATAAGTTGTGTCAGATAATTGACCATCACTTTCATCACATATCACTTTCTGTTTGCGAGAAATATATTATGAGTGAGCGACCTTTAACTATTGTTTTTTTTTTGTGTTATGTACTTTCAAAGCTTCCAGTGACCAATGGAAAGTCTACACCCTCCCTGGACCAACTGTACTTGGTCACTGACAAAGCAAAGATGGCGCCGGAGATAGTGGACAACATCATGGACTTAAAAACTTTTGAACTTGGACCATGTGATCCTGCTAGCCAATCAGAAGTAGAAATGTCAGACGTTGACATCAAAGAAAACTGTGGCATGGTAGAGTCTGATGAAGAGGACTATTCAAAAGTGGTTGAGGTAAAAGACAGATTTCAAGACCTGGATGTAATCTATGTACCAAAAACTGGTATCACAAAAAGAGAAGATGTTTCATAACCCCTGGTGGGTTCTTGGAATGGGGTATTAAGATATTATTTCTGAGTATTATAAATTATGTATATATGTGTGTGTGTACAGAATGCATATGGGACAACTGTATTTGTGAATGTTTTGTTAGCTTGAAGCAAACATAAATTCCTAGTAGTCGCGCCATAGTCTAAAATGGAAATAAACAAACTTTTCAGTCATACAAAACCAAAAATAATGAAATATGAATTAATTTAAAAAAATGAAGTGTGACAAACTGCCATGGAATATGAAAGTTTGATCTTTATTTATTATTATAGTAAAACCTATGTAAATACATGTTTTTCCTTCCCATCAAAAGTTTATGACTTTCAATATGCATGATACTAGTAACTACCCACTCCTTTGGTGAGGGAGAAAAAATATCTTGGAATGGTAGAAATCTATACAGTTGGACTATCTCCTTTCAATGAAGATCTGTCAACTAAGATCTAAAAGTACTACACAATGTAACTGTCTTACAATTTCTGCATCTCAAAGAAGAACATACGGTAAATTAGTGGCAAATCTATACACTTCATTCATTTATAACTGCAGTTACTGTATATCATACAACATCCACACATATGACCGGTTAAATTTATTTCAGGGTGATACTGATGATACTGATGTCTTCATAAGGCTTGTCAGTTTTGGGGTGTGTTTTGACTTGGCTGATTTTGTTGACCACCTCCATTCCCTTGACCACACGTCCAAACACTGTGTGCTTGTTGTCCAACCAGGGCTGGAGAAAACAGAGCAATGATAAGTTTTATTGATACATAGGCACATTAATACCTTTGACCCAGTGTTGCTGTCACACTTCAGAGAAGCTATATGACAAGTCTTACTGGGTAGACACTGAGAACAATTCTCTTGTGGAACATTCACTGCATAAAATTGAATGCACCAAGGCATAAACCTGATCCTCAGGCCTTGCTTTCATTATGCTTTTCCACTTATAAGCATTTTATTTCTTCGTTTTGGCTGAAGATAACAGTATTTGCGCAGTATTTGCAAAAGGCTAGCCCCTTGATGCAGTGATTGCATGACTGTGTGGCCCAAGGGCTACAGAAATGGAGACGGGCACTGCCATATGCGACCATACTAATGGTTGTGGGGAGGACTTTACTTTAACTTAACTTTTAACTGTACTCACAGTTGGTACGACGGTGATGAAGAATTGTGATCCGTTGGTGTTGGGTCCTGCGTTGGCCATGCTGAGGGTGTAGGGCCGGTCGTGCTTCAGTTTGGGGTGGAACTCATCCTCAAACTCACCTCCCCAGATCGACTCTCCTCCTGTTCCAGTCCCTGCACATGAAAATAACACGGTCAAGCTCAATGTCATACTGTATATTACAGTCTTATAGGGTAGAAAGGTGCAATGGCCAAGTGGGTAGAGTGTTTGCCTTGCATTTGGTAGTGTCCACTAGTGTTTCATTTTCAGTTCAGGTACAGGTACACCAGATGTTCAAGTGCAGACTTGGAAGTAGATGTTTTTGGAAGTAGACTTGGAAGTAGGTATAGGTACAGGTATAAGATACACAGCCCTAGTACAGGGTATACTATCAACTAAGTATACATGTATAGTTACTTTCCTAAGACTGTAGTGCCACCTTGTGGTAGGGTTTCGTACTGCAACTGGCAACTTAGCAGTAAACACAATAGCATCCACTGATATGAGTCTTATAAGGTCTTAACATAAAACAACCAAACAAACAAAACATCAGCCCCATGTGTGTGTGTGGGGGGGGGGCAGTGTTTGTGACCTCTGACCTGTGGGGTCGCCTGTCTGGATCATGAAGCTCTTGATGACCCTGTGGAAGATGTGTCCGTTGTAGAAACCGTTCCTGGTGTGAACACAGAAGTTCTCAACTGTCTTAGGACACCTGGGAGAAACAAAAACACACACACAAAATTAATGACAATATTTATGCTCTATATGGGCCAAAATTGCACCCCCGGTATACTTTTAGATAAGTGAGGTATAAGGGTAGGAGGAACATATTAAATGGCTAAAGACATCCAAATACTATTTTAGGGCAGCAAATCTGGAGTTCAAAAGTCAATTTCCTGGTCTTTCTTCTAATGTAGTACAAGTTGAATCAGTCCTATCCCACAGCACACTAATACATGTATCTGTGAGACAAAAATGTGATGTTGCTGTATTGTAGGTTGGTTCTATCTATATACATGTATGGGCGGTACAAAAAAAATGAAGAGATGTCACCTCACATACTTGTCTTAGGGCTATGTAAATGCTTCAACTGGGCTAAAAATGTCAGTAAATGTCAACATAAGACAGATCTCCTCATCCCAAAATTGCATTGGATGCCTTAAAGATGTAGCATGGAGACTTGTCATTTCTTTTCTCCTAGTGAAATAAAAAAAACAGGAAAGTGACCTGATCCAGCCGTAGTGTGGGCTCAATGCCAAGCTCAGAGAGGACAATTGTGACCTCTGCTCAAATCCCCTGCCTCCCACTATATATGATCTTTGTGGAATGCTTCAGCAAAAGGAGGAGGTCCTCAGACTCAATTTTCAAACACGTCTCCGGTAATGATCTTTAACTTGATGTAACACAATCCAGACAGAGGAGTGAAAACCAATATATATAACAAGCCGCGATATAATTATGGAAAAACGTTTTAATTATGGACTCCCACCCATAAATCCCAAATGCTTAACCCAACTGTCTTAATACTTTTTATGGTAACATATTAGGTGGTAATGAATATGCGGAAAGCGTTGATGAGTCCCTTGGGAATAGTCCAATTATACATAATTATACTATAATTATGTATAATTATACATAATGATTTTGGTATTATACATAATTATACATAACCCTTAGGACCGTTATACATAATTATAGATAACCCTTTGGACCATTATCTATAATTATACATAACCCTTTGGACCATTATACATAATTATAGATAACACTTTGGACCATTATACATAATTATAGATAACACTTTGGACCATTATACATAACCCTTTGGACCATTATACATAATTATCCATAATTCTATGGACTATTATACATAATTATACATAACAGTTTGGACCATTATATATAACTATAAATAACAGTTTGGACAATTATACAATAATTTCACGAGGATTTCGCGAGAACCGAGTGCGCCGCTTTCGAAACCTCGAACACCGAATTCAAACATTCGAATTGACGCTGTTACACTTTTTGTTTAGATTAAATTTTTGTTTAAATTTCTCGGTTGGGTTAAGGCAGCCTATGGTATACTATGAGTAGTATTTCATACATATGCCTGTAACTTTTGATAGCTTGGTCGCACCACAACTAAACTTCACACTAGTACTTGAAACACATTGGATAAAGGTTATTTTGTTTTTAATACTTCTGGATTTTTGGGTTAAAAATCAACATTTTGGTTAAAAAAAAGCTGTTTACTTCATGGCTTTACGCGCAAGCGGTAACAACACCTTTCATCATGATATTTTACAAGTAGAAAGCCAACCCCCTATTTATTATTTTTGTCCGAGGCTATTTCGTGTTAAATGACAGTTACATTGTTTTTTTTGGGGCCAAAAACGACAGAAACAGCTATTTTTCTGTCATTTTTCGTTAAAAAATCGCCACAGTTAAAAAAATATCGACTTATATGCAAAGATCAATTATGCTGTTTTCAGCTGCGCTTAAAGCCGTTTATGTCATAGTCCGTGAATAAAATGCGTAACAGCGCGGGTTCACAGGGGAAACATACAAATGACCGCGAGTGACCCCGAATTCGAACACGCGTTCTATTCGAATGACGTCATATCGAACATGGTGGAACATGATTTGGGTTCGAAACAAGTCTGTGGCCATCGTGCAGACACACGTCCGAACTCAAACATGAATATCAGCCTAGGCCGCCTTAACCCAACCGAGTTTGGCACATTTTGCATTAAAATGTCTGTTTTATCGGGTGGGTACCACGATGACATCACCCTCGGCCACAGACCTCCTGCGGATCGGATCACCCGATGGCTGAATCCGTACCTTGGGTGATACAGAATACACTGTGCACTATCTAATATAATGGTTGTTCCAGTCTGTGTCATAAGTAGCCATACAACCCGGGGTTCCAATTGTAGGCTTCAGGCTTCAGAATGTTCCATAGAATAACTGGAACTGTTTTGCCTGAGCTGAGTGTGCCAATTCCAAACATTCAAATACCAGATTGGAATTGATGTTGTATTTTTTAATCTAGGGACTCCAAATTTCGGCTCATTTCGCAATTTGAAAGGCGTGTGTTCTCGAGTTGTTACAATGTGGTGTATCCCGTATCACCCTCGGTCCCAGCCCTCCTACTGTTGAGAGATCCAACCTGTGGTACAATGTACCTCGGTCGATAGGAATACACTGTGTTGTATACTAAAATAGATTATCAAATTCTACAAAATATTAAATATTAAAATAGATTTTGTAGTCTTAAAATCAAGGAGGTTAAAGAATGTCTCAAGGAGGTTAAAGAGACACTCTCCTTGCTGAAATAGAAATCCCATTTTACAGCTTCTGATGTGTTTTAACATTAACAACAAAGAGAATTATTTGCTACATATTTTTCCCTAAATACTTAACGTCTTAAATACATAATAATAAAGTAAGACTTGAAAAAGGAGTCAACATGTACAGAGAATGTACTATGACTAATATATTATGATTACAGAAATTTCTGCAGGAAAAATTTTTCCTGCAGGAATTTCTGTAGGAGAAATAATGCAGAAATTTTTGCAGGGTAAATGTAAATTCCTGCATCCAGAAATTAAATACTTTCCTGCAGACATTTCTGCAGACTTATCTAGAAGAAATGTCCCTGTATCTGGAAGCATCGCAGCAGTGGGATATGAGTGTTGTTATGCATCCAAGCTTGTTTTACAACTGTTAAGGCCACAACAATTTCATTTCTTTTTTCTCAATTTGAAACAGTCCTGTTGACTATAGAATTGCACGCAAAATTAAATCGATGTATGCACTCAAGGTGGTCCTTTTTAGTTAAGCTTTTAGATGATCGCCTGATTTTGGGTGTGAGTGTGTGTTTGTGTGTCTTTGTGCTTGTGTGTGTAATTCATACACTGTAAGTTTTAGGCTGGTAACTCAGAAAATGCTTTAATTTACTTCCCCTGTCCCCATCTGTAACTCTTTTACAACTTCCTCTGACCAAGGAGGTTGTTCTACCTCTATGATCTGACTGGAGTCTCACTCTTGCTGCTTTGGAACTTGTTCATTGTATCACCAGGGTGTGATAATCACCTCTCCTCCCCATTCTCACACATCTTTAGTATGTGTGCTTTGTGTATAGGTGATAACCAACCTC